AAGCTAATAAACTTAGCTTGCTTAATCTACAGGATTTTCTAGCAGTCTTTTGTGAATGGATAGTGAAGAGAAGGAAAACTCAATACAGATAATGGTTGAAGACTATCATGAAGAATCAAAAAACCGAAATCAGGAACCCGCTGCTATCAAGTTGACTCTGATTCATAGCGACCCTATAGGAGAGAATAAAACTGACCTATAGAAGGTTGGGCAATCCTACTTCCGTAGTGATACTGCCTCGGAAACCCAAGGAGGGGTCGCTATGAGTCAGGGCTGACTCAACGGCACATAATAACAACAACAACATAGGGTTTCCAAAGCTGTAACTATTATGGAAAAAGACTGCCACATCTTTTGCAGACTATCACATCTTTTGCCTGTGTAGCAGCTGGTGGGTTTGAACCACACCACCAGGGCTCCTTATCTTGAAGAATCACAAACAGGAAAAGGAATATAAAAAAGGATGGCATTTCATGGGAGACAATGAAGAATGTAGTTCTACCAAGATGGTGGTAAAGAAGACTGAAATTCTGGAGAGCAATATGGGAGTCATATCTATAGAGATGCTTGCTGTAACTATGGTGAAGAGTAGAAGACACTACACAGAGTGAAAAGTATAATGTTACCAATACTAGCCTTACAAATGAGGCCTAGAAATTATTTTACTAACCTACTGACTATCCAGAAGACGGAGACACTAAAAAACAAAACTATATGAAAATCACCTTAAAAATATTACTTATGCAAGTACTGGTCTCTTTTTCGTCTGGAGCAAAAAAAGAGAGAAGAAAATCAAAGATGCTTGGAAACAATTAGTCCAAGGGACTAGTGGGCCATGAGTACCTTAGCATATAAGACCCAGAGACCAGAAAATCTAGAATGTTGCCTGCCTACCACTGTCAACCACTTGGAAAGGGATCAAAATCAGAAATCCTGATAGACTGGGAGAAAAAAATGTAGAATAAAACTTAAAATCATAAAAAAAAACAAAAACAAAAAACAACTTCCTGGTCTGATAGAGACTGGTGAAATCCCTGAGACTATGACCCCTAGTCACCCTTCAGGCCTGGAATTAACTCACTCTAGTGGCTTCTTTCAGCCAAACAATAAACAGGCCTAAGAGCTAAAAACCAGGGAGACGCACTCCTTAGAACAATCAACAGTGGGAGATAAGAAGGGCAACATTTGCTCAGGGAGAAAGCTCAGCAGGCAGGAATACACAGGAAAGAAGGACACAGGGAAAAGATAACCACAGAGAGGAAGTGGGAAGAGAGCTGTTACATTGTAGGGACCAACGTGATCAACGTCATGAAACATAACATGTACGAACTGTTGAATGGATAACAAATCTGCTCTGTAAACTTTCACTCAAATCACAATAAAAAATTTAAAAATATATGTCTATTGCTTAGAACATAATCATTCTTCTTGGATAAATGTCAACATATAAGAACTAAGTGCCAATCTGGAAACAGAAAAGAACGATGGTTGAATAACTCAATGAATATAATTAATGTCACTGAATTGTGCATGGAAAAATGAAGAAATGGCAAATGTTTAATTACATATATAGTTACCACAACTTAAAATAAAAAAAGAAAGAAAAAGAGCAGAGTACATAATCATAATATAGAGACTACAAAGTTACTCAAATGGCAGTTAGAAGTAGGAACTTAAAAAAACCCCACCAAAGTCACTAAGGAGGAAAACTACCACCCTTCCTCCCCCACTGCAGATAAAAAGTGATTAATAATTAACCAACTCAGGAGGTAATGTTTATCAAATCCCCTTCAGGTAATTGATTTGTAACTGTCTGTATCCAAGTGAGGACAGATACTTCAAAACTGGAAAGGTCAGATGGCCATTTCTTCCAAGATTTAATGACATACTTCCGACCAAATGTCAGAGAAAATTTTTTTTGTCCAGGGGGAAAAAATTATACAGTTTTTAAAATCAAATCCATTTAAAATCCTGAAGGTATCTAGATTTTGAGAATGCAAGAGATTTCATTTAGAAACAACTAGTTTCAACCTCACAATTATCAGATAATGTTAGATAGAACATGGTATATTTTCAAGACATAAAAATAGAGAAATACACTTTATAGATGTTTCTTCCCACACCATCCCCACCCAAGTATCTATTTGCATATTCTAAAAAGCAAAGTTTCTCCATGCAAATGTCTACCAGAAACTACCACCACCTGTTCCTAAAAGTGAAAATAGCTAATGATGAACAGAGGACAGTGAGAAAGGTGAAGAGGTGACTAATACACTGTGCAGGGAAGTGCTCTACAACTACTAGCATGCAGTGACCATTAAGCAGGTGAACAGAATCATAGGCAGAGGCTACCAGCTAGAACCCTGAAGGGGCTGGATGCTCCAAGCAGAGAGCCCATCTTCCTGGTGCATCTCAGTTAGAGTTCCCAATATGAAAGAATTCTACCACCCAAAGAACTAAGGTTTGTGACAAAGGAAACTCTCAGGAACAAAACAGCAGTTACATATTTATGTTAAATTTATCCATAAGTGAAAAATCTAAGTGGTTTATAGAATAAATTAAGTACACTATCAATTTAAACTGAAAAACTTTTAAGCAGTGTTTTTGATTAAAATTCATTTGTTCCACTACCTAATTTCATCTTTAACTACTAATCATATGATACAATATTTTTCATTATGTATAACTCAAATGCAGGGCACCTCTAAAAATGAGCTATTTTATCCCACAATGCAGAGATAGTGTTGGTTCTAATATACATATATATATATATAATGGAGTTCTGGTGGTGCAGTGGTTAAGGCATTTGGCTGCTAACCAGAAAGTCGGCAGTTCAAACCCACCAGCTGCTCTGTGGGAGGAAAATAAGGCAATCTACTTCTGTAAAGATTTATAGTCTTGGAAATCCTACGGGGAGGGGGGAATCTCTATGAGTTGGAATCGACTCAATGGCAGTGGGTTGGGTTGGGTTTAAATATACAAATAGATATACAGAGTCTTTCCAACATTTGCAATGCTAGACTTTGGTTCCAATTAGAAGATGACTGTGCATTTTCCTGGTGTTTCTGTCCTTTTTACAACATCAATATTATCATTTAAAAATTGAGCCTATCTCTACTAAAAGATAAAAATGAAAAAAATGAGGATATTCTGGAAGTTAGGGAGAAATATGACTTACTTAGGTCTTTAATACAATTCAAACAGCTTAGTACATTTCAAAGATAGTAAGTCAAATAAAGATTATCCTAAACTTTTCCTCCAATAATAAACAAACATTAAAGAACATCATTTGAGATCCAAACTAATTAAGGACATGAATTGAAATAAAAGGCATTTCATGCCACTTTATCAGTAATGTTTTTATATATATTAGACATACAAGATTCTTATGTTTCTTTTTTTCTTGGACAGTTCTAAAATCAAATGCTTCTCCCTAATATACCATGAATGCACTCACACTTATGACTATACATATCTAACTATGTATGTCAAACTTTATATATCGAACTTTAATTGTGATAAGATGATCAAGTTGTATGTCTTAGTCAAAATCATGTGTTTTAACTCAAACACAAGTTCAAGGTTATAACTGGTGATTTATACAGATTCATATTATATACAGCCTTCTACTTGGCTGGGAGATACATTTTTGGTACTGTACAATAAATTTAAAATTCATGTTTATTTTCCATTAGTAAATAATGGGAGAGGAGGGAAGCATGTTTAAAGGCAAAAAAAAAAAAAAAGTGATCATTTCAATTATAATCTATTGAATCATTTAAAACATATTATATTCTCTAGACAAGGGATCAACAAATTCAACCAGTAGGTCAAAAACACACCACTGCCTGTTTTTGTATAAAAACTCTATTGGAACACAGCCATACCCAGTTGTTTACTTATTCTCTATGGCTGCTTTCACACTACAGTGTTAGGATAAATCAGTTGACAGACAGGCTACATGATACAGAGAATCTAAAATCATTACTTTCTGGATGTTTAGAGAAAGTTTGTTACTATACTATTTAAGATACAACATGGAAAATTTCACATTCGTGGTAAGTAAGTTTAATTTTGCCTAATTTACGATTTGACATATACCTATTAAGGTGCCTTTTATCTGAGTCCTAATAAAATTTATCTTTAGTTGCTGTGTTCACTGAGGTTTCCCATGTACAAACGACTATATGGGGAAAAAAGCTGTGAAGGTTAGCTTTAGATTAGCAAAGACTATTCCCATCAGATTCGCTTGTTTGCCTATTTGTCTTAGATTGCTATAAAATTACCATTTCGGAGTCACTGTGAGAGGCCTGACCCAGGCTGAGTGCAGGCCCTAGCTCAGAGTGAGAAGCTCCTTCAAGGGAGAGAATGGGCTCAATAATGTCATCGTAATCATCTTCCTCTGTATCCCCCTCCCCATCGGCAAAAGTACCTCTAGTCAAGAAATCGGAGCGCGTCCGCGCCATTCGAGCTTTCTTTTTATGGGCCGGTCTGGCAACCTGCTTGACCAAATGATAAAACAAATAACACAACAATGTTTTCTTAATGGAGATGATGCCAACAAAAGGCATCAGAGGGCTCATGAATTTCTCGAAACATCCCTCCAACCCACCATGCCCTTTCCACTACCAGAAGTGATAGGGATAACCAAAAGGAACCCACATCCATCTTATACTATGAAAGTTATATCTACACTGTTTTTGTCCACAGCCAAGGAAATTATCCTTTACTGCCACAATCTGTCACCAAAGTCACTTGCATAAATCACTTTCTTTTCCTTAGAAACATCTTATTTGTACACATCATCTGGGTTCTTAGGCACCATTCCCTGCCTGGAGTTTACCTCCTTAATTTAAACAAGCTTACCTCATGGCTTCTTTCTCTATAAACACTTGGGAATAAATGGGTAGATGAGGAACTCTAGCTACAAGAATAGTAATTTCCAAAACAACATGCATCCATTTCACATAGAAGACAGACAAACAAGATCCAGTACTTACCTCTCTTTGGCCCAGCCCAGCTAACTTCACTGATTTCCAAGTTGGTTCATCTGGTTTATGATGATGAGGATTCCCACAATTTAAGGATTCTTTGCTGACACTTAAGATAACACAAAAGGATAATATTTCAATTACTAGCAGAGATCCCATGGCAAGCAGTCTTTAAGAACAGCATGAAATATAGTCTAATAAGCCAGGTCAAAGAATTTCAGCAAGTTGCATAAATATTTCCAGATCTTATGTAATTCCCCAAAAAATATCCTAAAATGTCCTGCTTAACTACCTAAAACAAGGTTAAGAGAAGAACAAAGTAGGAGGACTAACACTTTCTGATTTTTTTTTTTTAATTTTATTTTATTTATTGTGATTTGGGTGAAGATTTACAGAGTGAATTCACTTTCCATACAGCAGTTCACATATACTTTGTCTCATGTCATTGACCACAGTTT